GGGACTGTACCCGGAGGCATCCAGTGCTCTGTGTAAATCTGCCGCATCAATGACTGCTGGTATGCGATGTTGTCGTTCCGCTGGGCTATAGCCACGTTGGTTTTTGAACAGCCTGATCAATCGCTTTACGTTGTTACTGTTCGCGTTGATTGAGTTCGGAAAGTCTAGAATGCTGAGTTGAACCTCTGCCGTACCAGCATGCTTCAGGCTTTTCTCCGCACATATACGGTGCGATACCGCCTGAAATCCACTCCGAGCCATGCTGCAGAATAGTTTACAGCGTTCGTCAATTCTGAGAGAAAAAGGATGCAAATTTTCCGGTGGAAAAGAGCCTTCTTATACTCATGCTGCAAATCGTTTTGATGACACAACCTTTACCATTCTCCACCAGTCTTGTATAAATGCGCGGCGCCCACACCTAGTCCGCGTGGCAAGCTGCTGTTTTTTTTATCCAACACGGCAAGCTTCCAGTTGCAATGAGTGTGCAATACAATAGAATCCGAAACTCAGAGATCAAACTGCAAGATGTGAAGGCACAAAATATACCTTTCGCAGACGATGCAATGGTCATGAACCGCAATACGCCGACCGGGGACCCGCCTGCCCCCAAGCGACTTAAGAAAAAACTGTGTCCACCTACGCCAACGGACGATCGCCTGCCTACAAAGAAAAACGACGACTTGATTACCACCGCGCAAGTGGCTGTTAAAGTACCACAGGACACCTACCGACGACTATTTGACCTCCAGCTTGGGGAGAGTAACTATTTCACCGTTGCAGAGGAGGACCGATCTCATCCAGAAAGGCAATCAGTCGTGATTATTAAGACTTTTACCGGCCCTGCGGCAAAAAGCCAGATACAAGCGATACGCAGAATTCAGCACAATCGGTTTGTTGATGCCAAGGAATTTCTCCCCATAGATGAGGGATACCTTGTGTCATTCGAATTCATGCCCCTCGCACTATGTGAAATTGCAGGCAATCCTCTTCTGAATGATGTACGACTGGCGTCGGTAGTGGGACAGGTATGCTCCTTGTCTGCGATTGAACCAATCCGCCGCTAATATCGCGCAGATCGTTGATGGGCTTCTGTACCTAGAACAAAATGGTCTCGAGCACTCGAGTCTTACCTGTTCCAACGTCTTAGTAGACTTGTTTGGCAATGTTAAGATATGTAAGCCACGCCCAAGCCATGAAACAATCTTCCCTACTAATCTAGACAGGGAACCAGGAACACATCAAACTGTCGGCCGGGAGATATCAACATGTCGAGGCTCTGGGGGAAATTATCATGTACCTTGCTCATGGCCAGGCCAGGGATGATGGGATTGTGGGCCTGGATGAGCCCCAGCGATTCCCGTTGGCATTCGATTTTCTCTCCGCCACACAAACAGCATGCAAATTAAGCACCGTTACTGAAGTAAGACACATAGGTTTTTTTTTTGCAAGACCAAGATTGTACTGACTATTATAGAACGCCTTACTAAAGCTTCC